GGTTATTGTTGGGTTGAAGGCGATGATGCATTTCACAGCAAGGACAGTAACACATTTGGACCGGTAAATATAACAGTAAACGTATTATTGTATACCGTTTGCTATACTAATTTGGGATTCTCGCATTTTAGGTACCATTAGGCTTGATCAATTCCAAAGTAACATGGATACTATGGCCATTTTCACGATTCGGTAGAGTTCCACATATCGAAAAACCGGGACGTGTTTCCGTATTTTTAGGGGATGTCAATCTTTTAGATATTTTTGACATAGATGATTGAAATAAATAGAATAAAAACAATACTGATTTTTCAAAGAGAATGAGATGATGAAATTTGGGTACTCGGATTTTATTAGGTCCTAATTTAATTCGTTATCATTGTAATTTATTTCACCTCTATCCGCCGTCCTTGGCAAAAAAAATTGAATGTTCTTTCGAAATATGAGCTTCTTAAACTGATTTTAGATCATCAGATCCAAGTCACTGAGTTATATCTCAGGTTTCATCACACGGCATGCAACAACAATAAAATATTTATAAATAAAAACATTTGAAATATTATTCCCAATTCCAATTGAAAGTTGAATTAGATCCTCTCTTCAAGATAGATTCTTTATTTCAGTCCGTGATATGATTAATCCTATTATTATTTGTCCTTGCAATTCTGTCATTAAGTTTTGCATTTAGTTTATCCCTTCAATCTAAGTATCTGGATTTACTCCACGTGCTAGCAAAACTGTAATTGCAATCTCAATAATTTAGATATTTAATTTGATATAATACAACAAATATCACATGACAAACGCGAACCTTTCGCGTATCGCATTATATTCACGTGACAAATTTTTATGCATATAAAAAAAATCAAATAACTTTCTTCTTGCCAATGGCTTTGGCGAGAGATTCCTTCTTTTTCTTATAAGCCCTATATTTTAAATCGGTTCCCATAAGACGATCCCACCATCTGAACGATGTTGAAAAGCAATTGACGAATGCCATGTGATG